TGGTTGGGTTGGTTGGGTTGGTGGGTTGGTACGAGGTTGCTTGGGCTGCCTGCCTGGGGTGGGTCGGTTGGGTCGGTTAGGTTGGTTGGGTTGGCGGGCTGCGTGAGGTTACTTGCTTGTTTGAGCGGCTTGGGTAGCTTGGGCCGGGTAAGGGCGTGGGTTGATTTGGTGAGGTCGGTTGGGTCGGTTGGGTCGGTTGGGTCGGTTGGGTTGGTTGGGTTGGGAGCTGGGACGTGGCGGCCGGCGAGGTCTGGTTCCTAGGTTGACGCCTCAAACGGCCGCGGCAGTCTCGGGCAGTGGCCAGTTCGGACGTCGCGGTGACCGATTCAGGCGTCCGGTGGACGATTCGGGCTTCCTGGTGGCCAGTTCGTGGTGGCCGATTCGGGCCGCACCCACTGTATCATAAGCCCAGCTCGTCATTTCAAGTAGGCTGCTGGTTGTGTACATGCTAGTTCGAATTTCTTTGCAAGTTGATCGTAGAGAGCAAGGAGGGCATCCACGATACTAAAGACGTCTGAGGTAGGGTTTCATGCCATGCCATGGGGATGGAGATGTAGCAAGCGTGGCATTGTTTTGTGGGTTGCTTGCGTACCGTGTTGAAGACAGGCAGTGTAGACATGCCCCCAGTTTGGATCCCATTTTCCATTTCTTTTTCCATTCGATTCACCGTTACTGGGGCTATATGATCCAAATATATTATCACAGTAGTTACCATTTTCTTCTTCATCAATCCTACAAAATAATATTCCAGTATATTCAGCTTAGGGCATTTGCACCGCCCCTTGTGCACATAGTCAGCGTGTCTTGTAGGAGTTTTCTCACAAATTGGGATCACACAGATGTCGTTTCAAGATATGTAGTTGTACTAACGGAGAATCAAATGGAAACAAACATGGAGAATAACATGGAAGCGTGTATTCAGTTGGCGGCAGGCGTACACCTGGTCTTCGAAGCCCTGGTGGAGATCAGGGCCAGGAAACAGTGGAGCAGGTCATCCCTGACTGAGCCCTCTGCGTTAGATTAGAGAAACCTAAGAATCCCCACTCCTGGCCAGGACTTAGCATTGTCAGCCTCTCGTGAGACGAATTGCTGCGATTCCTGGAAGGCAAGAGACCCTTCAAACTCGGGTGCGAAACCTGGATTGACCTGATTGGTGCAGAGGTGCTTGTAGGCATTCAAGACTTTATGCCTTGATTCTTGCCTTGCCGTGGTGAGCTGATGGCAGCCGTAGGCGAGGCAAATTGAGCTAAGGTTCAGATTGTGTCATGAACAGCATGGGCAGGGCTCATCCTGTTGATGTCTTCAAGGCTATGCCTTGCTAAGGTCTGAAAAATCCTCCGGAGCTAAATCACGCGCATGGCGAAGCAGTCATGCCACCCCTGCCGTCTACTGCTTTGCCTGTGCATGCCTTAGTCACATGGTCGCCAAGATGCATCCGCCAGCAGACTTGCTGTGGTTCCCTGAAAGTAGCACCCAACCACAAGGCCCGAACGCGTGTCACTGTGATGGCAGGGATCTCAGTTTGGTGTGTGACAGGGGTGGTGAGTTACCATGAACTGGTTGTTTCTGCCAACACTACTACTACCACTACCACTACCACTACTACTACTACTACTACTACTAGTACTAGTACTAGTACTAGTACTAGTACTAGTACTAGTATTATTGTTATTATGACTAGTATTATTACTATTACTATTACTAGAACGACTATTCTTATTACTGGTACTCTTACTATTACTGGTACGATTTCTGGCAGGCTGCCAAGTCTCAGCTTATTTCAGCTTAGCTTGTCCTGCGTGGCTTCGTTCCTTGCAAGCGTGGTGGCTAGGTCCCCATCCGGATGCGTATGGAAAAGAAGGCTGGCAAACCTGACGTCACAATGTGTCAAAATGTATGCTTCAAGCGTTCTCACCTCATGTGCTGCTCATTGGAACTACTGTTAGCGTTTAAAAAAGCAGGGCACAGACAGCTGAGACACATGCAAGCAAGACGTTTGGCTGCAAGAGGTTCTGATGGTTTAGAATGATTTAGCCACGTCTGACACCAATGACAGAAGTGTCGCCAGGCAACGCTGGCAGATGTGCGCCAAAAGCTTGCGGCTGCAGGCCTGGCGTGATGTAAACAGCTGAACAGAGTGCTTGTCCCTCGGTGTTTTCGCATCCGCAGCCCCAAATGCTGCAACGCAGTATGCAGTATGCTGACCGTCCAAATCAACAAGTATGCCTCAGAAAGATGAGGACCAGTATTTTGCATTGTAGCCAGAGCTTTAGTGTTTTGCAGGATTGCGTGTCAAACAAAATGAGAAATGACAGGAATGCTGGGATGTCGTGGTGTTCATGGTCAGACAGTGACATAGGGGTCTTAAAAAGGATAGGCGCCTTGTTTCTGGGAGACATGACGTTTTCCTCAAATTCCCACACGTCTAGAGTCTAGGTTTTGGACAGCACGGTGCTATCAAATACTAAGACAGAGAGATTTCAAACTGCCCAGAGCAAGCTGCCAGAGAGCCAAGCATGGAGCATGGAGACTCTGCAGAGTCAAGAAGAGGTTTCAAAAGGAAACCTTGTGACCTTACACCATCTGCGCAGATTGGGTGGGAGTCCATACTCGAGGGGAGGAAGTTGTCCAAGCAGTTTTGTGCTGAGTCAACATGGGGCGAGCCTCCGCCCTCTGTATGGGGCGCTTTGGACAGTCCGACTCGCAGTAAGCAGAACTTCAAAATTGACTTTCAACTTGGCGCGTGCGTTGTTCGTACAGACGATGGGGCTCATTTGGCCACATGCGTTCCTGCCCTCTCTTCTCTTATGAAACAGGACGGGTCGGGGCTGAGAAGCGTGGATCTGAGATCAGCTTGCATTTGCCGGAGTGCCCTGCTGGGCGCTCTTCGCTTTGCCTCTGCGGGTCCTGGTGCC